TGCACCTCAGCTTCCCCTGGCCTGAGGGCTGCTCGCCTTAGGCTGGAAGAGCACCCGCCCCAGCTGCCGGAGAGCACGCAGGCACAGCAGCCGCGCTGGAGCGAGGATGCGCACGTCCTTGGCCAGACCCCTCCGCCCAGATGAGACGCTGCTGGGTTCCTGAATCCAAGAGGTTTACTGAAAAGAGTACTCAGTGTTTACGAGTTATGCTTGGTGGATGTAGAAATTTTGTTCAGGGGAAAAGTGGGCTAGGAAGCACTGGCACAGAGGGCTCAGCAGTCGTGCGGGACTGAGGAAGGGCTAAGCGTCTACCCACAGGGCCTTTAGGCACATGTTGTCACCAGGAGGGAGCCAAGTCTTGGGTAAGTCAGCTCAGAAGGTCTCCGAGGAAAACTGCTACTTGAGCCACTGTGTCCATAGGAGCTTCTCAGCTGCCCCCAGCCGCGCTGGCAGACGTGCCCGTGAGCATGGCCAGCGAAGCCACCTGGAGGTCTTTTCCAGCTGAGAGCTGGGCATTTCCAGGTCAGGACCTTGGCATCTCTAGCACCCTCCCCTGTGGAACTGATGCAGAAAGAGTCAGGTGCAGGGAGCACGGGGACACTCAGGCGAGCTCGCGGAGCTCCGGGGGAGCAGGCCGGCAGCCTCCCCTGCCCCTCACTACTGTTGACCTTGGACACCAGCAATGGTCCAAGTTCTCGCCTGACAGTCCGAACTCGCTCAGGCTTTTCCTCAGCAATTGCAGTTTCCTTGGCAAGCCGGTTCCTGTGGGGAAAGTGCAAAGCCTCGCCTGTGCGGCTGGAGCCGGCGCAGTCATATTCTGATGGTTTATCAAATTGATTTGGCTATAGCTCAGATTCATTTGATAGTTCAGATGCAAACACTGAGTTATTTGTGTAAGAATGATTCTCTTCCATTACCAGTGTACCCACAGCCCCATAGATAGTAAATTGCCTTTTTAGCCCGCCTGGAATCATGAAAGAGAGGTCTTCTAGCCATCTGTCGGCGGAGCAGACACCAGAAATGTGCTCTCACTTATGGAAATGATTGACCTGTAATAAGATCTTTTTCTGAGAAAAATAGAAATTGTTCAAATCAAATTTGTGCCAGTGGCTATAACACACCATATTAACGGGGCACAGAGCGCTCCTTAACTCCTGCCTTTCCCAGCTCGGTGTCACTCCCCACCGCGGTCTCTCCTGCCACTTTAACTCAAAACCAAGAAGACAAACAACACTGAAACAATTTAGGAATTACTAAATCTGTTCAAAATGAAGCCATCAGCCCATGGTGTCTGCATTGGTACTTTTCAGGGTTTAAATTCTCAAAACCACTCCCCACTAGAATTCAGATTCCCATTTACCTGGGCTTTCTTGGGCATCTCCTCTATCCCAGGCTCACAATTCTTAAGACTAGTCGTGTAAAAACACAGATTGCCGTCAGACCATGCTTCAGTTCCTCTGACTTCTAAACTCTTACCTTCAGTTCTCTGGGCTTAATGACTCCCTTGCATCCTGTGATTTCCTTTATTCCTCAAACTATGGCTTCCAGAACAACTCTTCTGGTGCTGCGCTGGGCCTCTCTTTCAGCACCTTTTCATCCAGCAGTCCCTGTGCTGGTCAGGGTTCTCCAAAGAAAGGAAGCTAACAGGGTGCAGACATACACACAGGCAACCAAGGGAGAGCATCTAGAGGTGAATGGGTTTGTGGGATTGCAGAGGCTGGGAGCCCCAGGGTAGGTCATCTAGGAGCTGCAGAACCAATTGGTCGCGTGTCTCCAACCAACACTAGAGGCTTTAGGAAAGGGTGCTGCGGGTGCTATTCCAGCCTCAAGGCGGGCGCCTGAGAACAATGGGTCTGACACAGAAGGCTGCAGAGCTTGGGGTCCTAGTGTCCAAGGGCAAGGAAAGAAGGGCAGCCCAGCCGGGCTGGGCATCTTAACT